TTTGTGCATGGGGAAAAAAACCCTGCAAACCGGTTGTCATCTAGTCAGTTCCTACTCATGATGGCCCCGTGTGTTACAGAGTAGAACTGCTCTGTAGGATTGTCTTGGCTGTAATCATAACACGAAGGACGGGAAGGAACACTGGTGGCACTCCAGGTAAGGTGGTTTGAACCCACCCAGCAGCTCCACATGGTTAAAGACCTGGTGATCTGTTTCTGTAAAGACTACAGCCTAAAAAAACCCTATGGGGCAGTTTTACTGTCACACGAGGTCCTTGAGTTGAAATCTAATCAAAGGCACCTAACAATAATCTTTTTTTTTCTTAATTTTATTGTGCTTTAGGTTTGCAGCTTAAGTTAGTTTCTCATTCAAATATTTATACACATACTGTTTTGTGACATTGGTTGCAATCCCCACAATGTGACAGCACTCGCCTCCTTTCTATCCTGGGTTCACTGTGTCCGTTCATCCAGTTCCTGTCCCTTCCTGCCTTCTTGTCTTACTTTTGGACAGGAGTTGCCCATTTGGTCTCATATATTTGATTGAACTAAGAAGTATGTACCTCACGTGTGTTGCTGTTTTTTATAGGCCTGTCTTATCTTTGAAAAGTGGGCTTCCGGAGTGGTTTCAGTTCTGTTATCACAGTGTCTGGGGGCCATAGTCTCAAAGGTTCCTCCAGTCTCTTTCAGACCAGAAAGTCTAGTCTTTTTTTCGTTAATCTGAATTTTGTTCTACATTTTTCTCCCACTCTGTCCAAGACTGTCTGTTGTGATCCCTGTCAGAATGGTCACTGGTGGTAGCCAGGCACCAGGCACCATCTAGTTCTTCTGGACTCAGGCATTTCCCTTCTGTCTTTGGTTTTCTTCATTCTTTGCTCCGGATGGGATGGGACCAATAGATGTATTTTAGATGGCCGCTTGCAAGCTTTTAAGACCCCTGATGCTACTCACCAACGTAGGATGTAGAACATTTTCTTTATGAATTATGTTATGCCAGTCGACCTAGATGTCCTGAGATTATGGTCCCCAGACCCCGGCCTCAGCAACTCGGTCCCTCAAGGTGTTTGGATGTGTCTAGGAAATTTCTATGCCTTTGCTTTGGTCAAGTTGT